AATCACATGATTTTCTCATGCAATTTGGAATAAATAAGCACTTGTAAATTTTTTCAAAGACCACAAATTGCACTCGCCCTACAGGCTCATGCAATTTTGTTTAGCTTTGAAAAAATTTACTCGTGCTTATTTATTCCAAATTGCACTCAAAATCATGTAATTACCTATACTAAGTGTATCTCTAAATTAGATCATTTCATCCATGCTGGGTAGGTTGTTCAAAATACAATTCAGCTGCAATTAAAACCCCACTTGAGAACACAAGCATCTCCACCATTTTGCTTTTTCATCCCATCAATCACATATGAAACTTCTCACCTTGTTGATTTTCAGTTTTTCCTGAGCCTCTTTCACCATTTCACCACTAAATCCATTGAGCAGGTTCTCTTGTGAAAATGCTGACAGATTAATACAAGCCAAAGCATCCACATAGTCTCTCAATCTCAAGAAGTCATAGGAAGGATCCTCAACTGTAAAAGAAAAAAAAAAATAGATGTACTGGTACAAAACAATGAGTTGGTGTTAAATAGTAAGAAAGGAGAGAAACAAACATTTGCAGCGGAGAGGAGTGGCATGCAGCTCCATGCTCCAGTTTGTTCAATTCCATCATTGCTCACCTGTTATGTCCAAGACTTGTGGGTCCTTAATGTATAATTTGTCAACTGTTTGAAGCATCTGAGCTGAAATGAAAGCAATCATCAGGAAGCTTCAGGAAACATGTAACATCCATGCAAGGACGTTACCGCATATTTTTATGCCAAATGGAGGCTATTGTGTTCTTCAAAAGTTTTTGTAATCTGCAGGTAAAATATTTACAAGCAATTTACTGTTTGCAGCATGTACAATGTTCACTTTTCAGTATTCTCTGGTACATCTTTATGAACAAACATGTCCCTTCCTCTGTAACAACACTAATCTTGAGTCAAATTTTAAATGAACCCTTTTATCTTAGTACACATAAGGTTTGAAAATTTGAGAATATCAATTAAGGTATTACTGTATCCTTGCATTATTCCCTGGCTTTAGCTGGGGTATATTTGTTCACATAATGCATTCAGACCATCATGCACTAGAAAAAGTATCTAATGGATTATGACACATATTAGCAACTTAACACAATGGACTAACCTCCATGGCCTTGTCTTTTAAATGGAGGAAGAATCAACATTTGGCTGCAAAATGAAATCAAGTTTTACCAAGTAATTTGTATCCACTAATGAATTGCTCAATGATGGTATTTGGCATTATTTTCATGTAACTTGCTTCTAAACATACTTATGAATTCAATGTACAGTATTTCCTTGAATAAGCACCCATGCTCTAATAAGCACCTCTAACTGCCTCCCGGTTAGCTCAATGGATAGAGCACCGGACTGTTGAGCGGGAGGTTGAGGGTTNGTAAGCAGACTGAAATTGTCGTAACATCTAAAAACATCTAAGATGTCACTAGCCACTTGGCTAGTAAGTTGAAAAGTTGGTGTCAAGCCCTGACATTAAGTTAAACATGGCCTAAAGGTTGACTAGGTAAACTTGAAAGTACCATCTGTTTGACACACATTGTACCCCCCCTTTGAAAAATTCCAGGCTACACCCTTGAATAAGACATGCTACCAAACACAGACTAGTACCTATATATGACGACGCATCAATGAACCATAGCAAGAATGTCTGGAGTTTCTCGTGGTAACCCCTGAGTCTCGGAGTGGTTACATCAGCCTAACCATAAAATGATGATATCATAATAATTATGATGGAGTGATCACCTGTGATACGTTGTGATTTAGAAAAACAAACATACCAATTTAATTCCTATCTACCATGATAGTTTCAGTTTGTATCAATGAACTTCTAGGGTAAGAGCACAAAACTCAAAGTGGTTTGAGAAATTTGAAACCAAGAAAAATTTTAAAAGCCTACCAAAACTGGGCTGCAGAATGCTCATAAGTGAGCTACAATAAGGCAGAATGTTACCATCTTTAGCAAAACTCATGGGGCATTCACAGCAGAACAGTTGAAAATGAACACATTTTTAAACCCTTGAGCCACCAGTACCCCTGTTCCCTCTGCTATGTCCAGGAGTTCCAGGACAGTTTGCAAAGACACTGCTCTACCCTTTTGCTACACAAGCTGAGTTACTTTGCTTGCTTTGCTTACCTCCCTCCCTCCCCTCCTCTCTCCCACAATTTTGGTTAGTATAGGTCATTTTGCATATCAGTTTTGTTAGTCTCCTGTTTACAGGGGCCTGGAGATGAGCTATGGCTCAGTTGCCATTATAAAAAAATAAATAAATAAATAATCATAATTTAGCAATGGACATTCCACTAGGTGGCTCTTCTTAGTCCACTGTTTCCAGATCTAATTGGAATTTGGAATGTTGGTTTTTGTGGAGGGTGGAAAACAGGAGAACCCAGAGAAAAACCCTTGGAGCAAGGATGAGAACCAACAACAAACTCAACCCACATGTGACGCCAGGTCCGAGAATAGAACCTGGGCCACAGTGGTGGGAAGCGAGTGCTCTCGCCACTGTGCCATCCCTGCTCCCCCACTAAGGAGATTGCTACCCTCCCTTGCTGCTTCATCAATCCTTTGACTTCCAGAAGTGATTGATGAACAAGTAATTTCTCCCTACAGTATCCGTACAAGTAATGAGAATACTAAGACTTATCAGGAAGTTGTTCTGTTGATCTGGCACCAAATTCTTGTAACTTATTCACAATGAACTGTGTATTGGCTAAAGCGGAGAATTAACAAACAGATCTTATGACTTATAGGGTCAACAGCTGCACATACCCCAAAACTATTGTAAAAGTGTTTTGATTCACATTTCATTCTGTACCAACAGGAATTAGTATAGTAGGTACATGTGTTAACATGCCTTCGAGTGAAATATGGTTTTAAGAAGCAAAAGTAAATTTTTCAAAGACAACAGAATTACAGGCGAGTGTACTTTGAAGTCTTGTAATAATAATAATAATAATAATACTAATAATAATAATAATAATAACACCTTTATTTAGACATGATAATGTTTTTAAAGCTGACAGCTTGTGGGGTCATGTGAAAATCTAAATAAACTCCAAATTAAATAAATTCAAATGATGATGGTTTTTGAGGAGAGGGGAAAACTGGAGTACCCGGAGAAAAACCTCCCGGAGCAGAGTAGAGAACCAACAAACTCAATCCACTTATGACGCTGGGTCCGGGAATTGAACCCAGGACACATTGGTGGAAGGCAAGCACTCTCACCACTGCGCCAACCCTGCTTCCCATAGAAGTGCTACTCTATATCAAATTGCATGAGAAATCATGGTGTTACTTGTCAATTACTTAGATGAAAAAAGCATTACAGGGAGTCAAGACAGATGAAATTTTGACAGAGCATGCTATTAGTAACTTGCACTTTTGCCGCTACATTTTTGCACTTGTGTCACATGAAAAAAAATACACTCATTTTCAGCCAATCAGAAACACATAATTTTTCATGTATGTTATCAAGTCAGTGATTGAACCACATAAAAACATGTGATTGCTCACCAAGCGAAAAGTTACCTTATACATCTCATATTCAGCATTGTTTTGCTTGTATGAATGCAGCAGCTCCCCCATTGGTCTGAATTTTCCTTCACCAGGGAGTTTGGCAATAAATTCATCTAAATTTGTCAGAAATCCTAGCAGATACAAAGCAATTAATTAAATAATGGTCTACAAAGTGAAGAAATCAATGAAAGCAAAAACTGAATTCATAGGTTTCCACCTCACCAGCAGGATATCTGTCTGCAATAATATTCATTACAGGATCAGGCTGGAGAGCAAATAAATTGATAATATGAGCTAAATAGATCACAATTAACTTTATGTTATTCTACTTGTCTGTGAATAACATCAAAACTTTTATCCAGTGCAGCAACACGCCACAATTAAAGCACTTTTAAAAAAAACCTCTTAAAAATTTCTTTAAGAATAAACACTAGCGAGAAAAACACACAACTTTTCGATGACTCCATGTTGTGTGTTTTTCGCGCTTGTGTTTATTCTTAAATGTCTAACAAAATCTAATGTCATTCGAATATTAAGCATTTCTTGAAGAATTAAATCCCAAAATCCTCTCTTTCTCCCTTTCTTTAATTTGTTTCCCTTCAATTTATTAAATTTATAAAATACTTAAATTATCCCTCTCCAAGGCTGTGCTCTAAGGAAAACTGAATGAAGCTCATCGCTCTGAAACTGTGAAATCCAGGGTGCTCAGCGTATGCTTTGTATAGAAAAACTAAAATTCCTGAGTCGCCTGAGAGCAAAAGTAAGGTGCCAAGGGTTACCAGGTGCTACTAGACCACAGCCTTGCCTTTCTTCCGAACAAGATTCTAATTTATCAGGGATAAACACTCAGGTATCCTCTATACCCCAAGGTAGAAAAATACTCCAAGCCGGTAAGGAATCTAATTGAGATCACAATACAAAAAAATACCACTTGAGATCAAACTTAGACTCTTCTATCAAGAGTCTGTCACAATAATCTTAAAATAAAGGTGTAATAGAGCAAGAAACCTCTCACCTCTAATCCCTTGCTATTTATCTGTCCATCATGTTTCATACCTATGTAAGTAAGAAGACTTCCAGCATGATAGTACAACTGAAAAAAAAAAACAAAAAAAAAACAGAAAATAAATGACATGAATAGCCCTTTTCCTAATTACCCTTGGCCTCATTTTCAAAACGAGTCTTGATCCTTTCATATGATAATAAGTTTTCATTCACATGCAAAATAAACTCATTTTCACAAGAATGGTTGGGCACCAGGCCTCGTTTTGAAAAGGAGGCCAAGGGTAATTCGGAAATGGGCTTTATATCACATTCGTTGAGCACCACTTAGTAACTAGCCACTTGACTGTTAGACAAACAAACTGCCTGAGTGACTGACTGACTGCTGGAAAGTTAGATGAATAAAGGGGTTAAGTTTTTAAAAGAAACTGTGTTGCTATGTCAGTGGGGATTATAAGGTAATTTAGTTATATCAACTAAGTTGAAATTGTAAATTGGCCACCGTAAAGAGTTAAAAAGCTGACGTTTTGAGCGTTAGTTCTTTGTAAGAGCGAATGATGGAAAGTTTAACTGACTGGCTGGAGAGACAGACTTGCTAGCTGACTGACTGACTGATTAATCAACCAAGTACATAATTTATAACAAAGCTCAGTCTTGCAAACTGCAGGCTTACTACCATGCTTCAGTTGATTGATTAGAGATTTACCTGTACTTCCAAGTCGCTGTAACCAAATATGGTTTCACTGCAAAGAAGAGAAAAATTTGAAATTACGTTTATCCTTTTTACTTTGATTTCTAACTGAATTTGGTTATTCAACACTCATCCAGAGCGCTGGACTGTAGTGCGGGAGGTCGAGGGTTGGAGCCATGGCCGGACCAACACTCAAGGTCTTAAAATAATTGAGAAGAATTTGCTACCTTTCTATAACATCAAGAAATGGTTAGATATTCTGGTCTTCTCAGATAGGGACGAATAAATGGAGGTCCTGTCTCCTGCAGGGTTGGGGCAGGAGACGTTAATTTCCCACGCACGAGATTACTGTGTGATGATGTCCTCCCCTGGGGTGGGAGGGATGGGTTGCTGTCTTGCGTTTCATACATGAGCCTCTGGCTCGACAATCTGGGTAACCATGCCTCACGTAAAGAAAATAAACGTGATTATCTTATCTTATCTCTGCGAAAATGTTCAGGTGTCGCTTTAAATTTGTTTCTTAGACAGTCGTATACAAACACACATAGCCCATGCTTCATAAACATGTAGATGTATACCATATTGCTCTTATTGAGTGGTAGAGCTAGAGAGATATATCTATAAGTACAACAAGGATTTATTTTTGAAAAAAAGCTTTCTTCACTTTATTCGTTAGTCAGTCTGTCTCCGCTGTGGTTTTTGCGATGAGTCATGGTGTGTACACTTGAAGCGACTGAGAGAAGCTACAATT